CCAAAGTTGGTCACCCCTTGAGACCTTAAGACGTTATTTAACTTACAAATTCATGTTAGGGTTAGGGTTAGGTGTTGACACATATCAGAAAAGCTCACTGAAATAACTTCAAACGGACAAAACCAATAAGTGGATATTTTCTGTTGCTTCGTTTGATCAGAATAGTAAAGTGGGGTTTCTGCACGTTTCAGCTACTTGCACTGATGTTCAACAAGACCTAAACCAGGACTCAGAGATGTTTTAGCTCCGTTTTGGGTCATTTTCCTGTTGACTGTAACTGATACCAAGCTTTCAAACTCGGGGCTGCACTTTTTGAGATTTCATGGAACCCTGTACACATTCAAGACCCACTGAGCCTGGTTCAAGCACAGAATAGAAGTCTCCAACGAGTTTTGCTGTAGTTGGTATTATTTGCTGACAAGCTCCAGGTTTTTCCTCATCTTTTCAAAGGAATTTCTCCCAGAAATGTTGTGGCTTGTCAACATGCACTTTTGGCAAATTATAGCCTCGCAAGAGACTCTCTTGGTCAGCTTGCTTCTCACACCAAACCTTCTGTCAGGAATCTTGATGTGACCTTTGACCCAGCTCTCACCCTGGATTCTCATGTCAGTTCTCTTGTTCGCTCTTCCTTCTTCCGTTTCAGGAACGTTGCTAAGCTGAGTCCCATTCTGTCCCGCTCTGAACTTGAGACAGTTCTCCACACCTTCATCTCCTCACTCTTAGACTACTGTAACTCTCTTTTCACGTGTCTGAGCAGAACCTCCCTGAACCATCTACAGGTGGTTCAGAACGCCTGTGCTCGGCTTCTGACCAAGTCCTCCAAACACACCCACATTGCCCCGCTTCTCCTCCAGCTTCACTGGCTGCCAGTCAACTTCAGGGTTCATGTCAAGATCCTGGTTCTGGTCTAAAGGGCCTTACATGGACAAGTGCCATCTTACATTGGTGATCTTCTTAGTCCCTACACCCCCAGCAGGTCACTGAGGTCCAGTGACCAAAGCCTACTGGTTGTGCAGCACCAGGCTAAAGGTCAAAGGTGACAGATCATTTGCTGCTGTGGCCCCCAGACTCTGGACCTCTCTCCCCCTGAGCCTGAGATCAGTGGACTCAGTGGTCTCCTTTAAAAAGCAGCTGAAGACTCACTTGTTCAAGCTGGCTTTTGTATGACCTTCTTCACCTCTCTCTCTTTATTCTGCTCTCCCCACCTATTCCACCTTCCTCAGGATCCACTGATTTCCCTCTTTCCTGTTCACTCTCTCTCTCTCTTTCTTAACATTTTTTAATCACAATTGTCTATTTTTGCTCACTTTAAATATATTTTCAAACATTTTCTAAATGCTTTTTTATATTTTTACATTTTTTGCTTTTGTGAAGCGCCTTGAGATTTTTATCTTGAGAGGTGATAGAAATAATACTTTCTTCTTCTTCTTCTTTTATGATAGTGTCTCTTTTTAGTCGTCTGACGCTCTGAGGATGTTTTGCAGTCGGCAAACGAAATGTTAGCAAGGTAAAGAGAAACCTTTCCTGTGTTTTAAAAAGAAACCAAAAATGGAATTAGAAACTAGACACAGTAAGAATACACCAAAGATGTTAGTCGTCTAGTTTTACACTTTTTAGAAGTTTTTTTTTTTGGGTTTGTTGGTTGACTTTCTTCTCAATATTGTGTCATGTTTTCTGTCTTGTGACCACATTCAGAAAGGTCGGTTAGTAAGAAGGTAATGTTTTTTATACGAAGCACCTTTGAAAAACATTCAGGCACAAAGCTGCGCGATAAATTCAAATAAAACAGACATTCTTACGAACCTTTAACGTCTGAATATGTGTAAAAGTCACCAGAGGAACTTCAAGGTGCCTTTAGATGGCCTTCTAGCTTTTACCTTTACCATACCAGTCATTTTAATACCTTCAAACATCTGTCTGTAGCTTTCCGTGGTCTATTTTCATTGTGACACACACCCCGATACCAAACAGCCCTGTAACGTTTAACCTTTCAAACGAGCAGACTATTAAGAGTACATTAAGCCACATTTATATGGATGAATTATTTTCCTCTTTTGATTGATAGTTTTCTCGGTTTAATTTACATTTCAGTGGCCATTGTTGTGGGTTCCTTTTTTCAACGAAAGTCTGGTAGAAACTGAACACTTTCTTCATGAGAATTACTAGAATAACAAGAACAACCCAAACTGGAGGCGGCATGTGGGGAAAATTTAACTCACAACTGAAAATGTTTCACCTAATCAACACAACTAGTTTCGACCACCTTCAACCCTCCCCCTAAGACTTTTGGATGTTCTTGGCCTTATCTCACACACCTCCATCTACATGCATACATACAATTAACCCCTCCCCCGCCTGCCTTCCTTCCACCCATCGGCATTAACATAGGCACAATAGCCCAGCGGAGAAGGGACAGTGAGAAAATCCAGATGAACTCAAGAGCTTTACCTCTTTTAGTTGTCATGGGTTTTTGTTCTAGCTGGGCTTGATTTCACTAATCAGGCAGTTTATCTTGATAGATGATAAAATTCTGCATGTCTTCTCAAACTGACAATGTTCAATGGTCTGTCAGTAACCAGTAACACCTAATAAAATACTAAATTCTACTACTACAGTAGGTTTTACAGTCATTATTTTAAAGATTTTATTGGTGCTGCGTTATCAGCCCAATTTATTAACTGCTGTTTACTTCAGTTTCTACAAAGGTTTTGGGAATAGTGTTATTTGCAGTTTTGTTTCATGTAGTTCTCACATTACTTACATTAAAAAGCAGAAATGCTGGTGATTCCTGAGTACCAACAGTGGTATACAAACCATAATTGAGTTGCATTAAGACCCTGTACACTCGTAGCCAGGTAGCCCACAAAATAAGGATTTTTTTTTTTTTTTTACGGTTAGGCCTCTCATTCACACGAAAGTGATCACATGCTCCAACAAAAACGACTCTTTCAAAAGTACAAACCAAAGTAAAGATTTACAAATTTGCCGCTGTCAGGATTTGCTTGTGAACGTAAATATGCAGGCTTTTAGGCTTCGCAACGACACTGCTCGTGACAAAGAATGCTCTGACATCACGTGTGAGATCTGTGCTTACACTCACTTGTTTCTATAAGCTTAATTACTGCTCTGTGTAGTAACCACAGGTGAAAAATGACAGTAAGGACAGTTATTGTCCACCAGCTAGTTATTCCATGCCCTTGGAATGTTTTGAAGATGTAAGGAACTACTGCTGCCTACAGGTTTCACATGCCTATGAATGTGCTTCACAATGCACTGGATTTATTTTTTTTTGCAGAAAACGAGATGGTGTGGACCCAAGTTATTTTTTTCTTCCTAGATGGGTGGGACAGACATTCGGTTTTACAAAAACCCAGCTACACGTGGCCTAAGTGAAAATTTTAAATGTTTGACCAACTTCTAGAAATGAGCTTCTGCTTCAATAATTTAGCATCTTAAAGAGCAAGTTACCCCCAAATCAACTTTTTTTTGCTGATAAACTATATAAATGTGTGTAATTGTGCTGCAGACACATGTCAACAACAATTTTGCACTTTAGTGCATCTCATATTTTCTGCCTAAAACAGTCAAGTGTTGTGCACTCTGCACTGCATTTGAATTTAAATCTGCCATTGATATTGGCTAAGAGGGACCCTATGATGTTAGCTGGTATCATATGATGGGCTGTGTTCGAGATGAGCCAGTTCTGCGCAGATTAGACCAGCGGTGATCGGCGAGCAGTGCATGCCGGTTAGATTTGTGTCCGACTTGACGCCGACTTGCTCTGATGTCGTGCCTACGTAGGCAACGATAACCTCGTGAGATCAAGGCGGCCGAAGATTTTGGAGCAAGGCGCTGCAGTTGCTCTCCACCGGCGGCAAAACCTAGGGGATGACGAGAAACGCCTGGCTCTCACCTGATCTAAGATCTGACAGGTTCATATTTTGATCCAAACATTCGGTGGTAGAACATGAAATGTTAGTTGGTCACATGTATTCTGTAAATCATGCGACATTGATAATAACTATATAGGCCATAAAGAGAAATGTTTTGTGTTCTTTTGTCACGTTTCCTATGAGCACACTAAACCTACAGCTGATAACCTTTACTTATTATTAGTCATGTCTTCATATACAATATATGATATCCACAAGCACGTGAGGATGTTTCAGCTGCTAACAGGCACCAGAATTAAAATTGAAAATTAAAAAAGTATGAACTCTAATGCGATATCTTCAGCCATCATTACCCACGAGCTACACATGTAAAAAATTGTGTCCGACTTAAACGCCAGCTTTCAGCCACTCCCCCTGCTGCTTCTGTCTGTTTTCCAGGCGAGGCGCAGCTCAACTCGAACACGGCCATGGTCGCAATGTCGTTGTGAGCCTGTGTGTGTGTTTTAGCAGCTCCGCCTTCTCGGTCTGTCATGCAACAGCATTTGTTTTATTTTTCAAACAGGAAGCGGAAATGGAGTAATACTCTGGTAGGGGGTTACTTGCTCTTTAAATGATCAGACAAAAATAAGTCTCGTACACGATAAGTGAGCAAAACTGTTGCATTTAAAAGCCTGGGGTGTCAAAAATGTATACAAAGGAACTCCATAGTACAAGATTGCTCAATCCTTTATTAATAGTAAAAATGTATTCACCTACCACCTGTACAAAAACACCAGTGTCAACAGTACCTATTTAAGACAAGTATTTAATCCAAGACAATAAATACACAAAGTATAAATGTAAAATGTTATCTACTATTTAGTGATTTTCATTCATGCATTTTATTGGAATAATGCCCTATGAAACTCAGTCAAATCTATTGCTGAACATGCTTTTCTCCTTTTGTAAGAATTCAAATTTTTTCATGATTTTTTTTCTAAAACATAAAAAATGGAATTTGATTACAGGGTTGACAACCTTTGAGAAAGAATGGATTTTACAAAGCTGTAAGAAAGCGTGTTTAGAACGTTTTTTTATATGGAAACACAAAGATTCCACAAAAATAGGTAGTTTGGTAATTAAGTGTATTAAAAAATTAAATATTTTCAACTACATTCAAGTTTATTTTCCTCAAAAATGGAAATGCTAGAAAACTTAACCAGAGTATACATACTGGGTAAGACAATACATTCAACAGTGAAATGGAAACCATTTTAGTGCAAATCTATTGTTCCAAAACTCAACTTTTAAAATGTTTTGTACAACATGGACCAAGCTGAAGTCAATCCCTGAGTTGCAACATGAATTTGAGGAATAATAATAAAGAAAACTTTTATGTGGTAAATATAAGCTTCTTTACCTCATAGCTAACAAAAAACGTAGGACCAATCTCTTGGGGCACACAATTCATGCAAAACAAGAAAAAGAAAATGTTGAAAGCATTAGCAGACACAATTAAAATCAAGTAAGTTATAAAAAAAATCCAAAATACAAACATTCAATGAATGGAGGCAAAATGGCTTCAAACAAAATGCCAGTAAACTACAGCTTTGAACTGCCTTTTGCCTTCAGGGCAAAATGCAAGGTTTAGCAGACTGGCAAACATGTGCAAATGTCCGGGAGAGGGGGGTTGCTTCAAGGAAGTGGGATAGAGGGTGAACACAGTGATGCAAACTTTCCTCGTTTACAGCTTGAGGCAAACAAAATGTAGGTAGTTTAAATGGAATTAAAGCGTTACGCATTTTACCCGTGGACCAGCGACACACCGTGGTACAAAGCTCGCTTCCACATGTAGTATGTCGAGCGCGCTGTGAATGGGAAGTAAGAGCGGAACTCTTTGAACGTGGGGAAAGACTTCTCCTCAAAGCGCTGCTGCAGGAAGAGCTTGGCTTTGGCCTTGAAGTTGGCAAGAGCCACGACATCCACTGCACACATACGCTCCTTTTCAGGTGGCCTTCTGTGCAAAGCGAGCTGCAAGTGAGGGTCATTAACGGAGGACTTTGGTGAGTTTTCCACGTATCTTGGGGGCTCAACACGTGGAACACACTCTTGACTCTCTGTTGTCTTGTTTTCGCTGAGCGTGCTCTCGACGGGCTCAGAGACAGTGACTGCTGCACTCTGAGAGTGTTTCACCACCTTCTTGCAGTTTGGGCTACTGCGCCACAGCCAATAGAAGCACGATGACATGAAGGGGAACTTGAGCTTGAACTTCGTCAGGGACCAGTTGGAGCTCTGGATGTGTAACTTTGCTGCTTCCCTCAACTGCTTTTTGCTCACGTATGCAAGTGTAAAACTTCTGTGGTTTTGTCTCCAGATCCTCTTCCCTGGAACAACAGATTGGTGAACGTTGGTCAGCACTGTTGCCTGGTTTTTTGGACTGTGGCTCTTGTCGGCATCCGAGCTCTCCTCGCTGCTGCCAACATTGCCTTTGTGGACCCTGTTAAGCAGCAGGGCTTCTCTTCTCCAGTTGTAGTAGGTCGATCTCGAGATCCCTGGAAAGTTTCTCCTAAACGCTTTGAAGGGGAAGTGAGCATTCATGGTGACAGAGTTCTGCAGACATCTCTTAGCCTCCTGCATGTATGTTACATTTTGAGCACGCTCCGTGTCCATGACGCTGAAGCCAAACATGTTTGCCACATTGTCATGGTGGTCCAGCTCATCCTCCTTTGCTTCTGGTGAGGACCAAGCCTCCTGCTCCGTACTCTCTCCGGGACTTATCTCTCCTGCTGAAGAGGAAGTGGAGAAGTACACTCCTGTTTTCAGAAGCTCGTGCTTCCAGTTATAGTAGGATGACCTTGAGATCTCTGGAAAAAAGGCCTTAAACTGGTGCAAAGGAATGGGTTTGCCCTCCAGGTAGCAGGCCTGGAGAAAATGCTTTGCTTCATACCTAGCTGCTGACTTTTTGCAGTGTTCCTGCGTTTGCCTTTTCCAGCGGTAGAAGGTCCTCTTGGTGATGTTATACTTATCCTTCAGACTTTGGTAAAAAAGGTGCGACTTCTGGTTCGGCTGTTCTTCACTCTTGAGAGGCAAAATCCTCTGCTCTTTTTCAGAGCTCTTGAACATGCTTGTCTGAACCAGGGCAACAAAATATTTCGGCTTGAAGGAAAACTCGGACTGCAGCTCCCCAGACCACATTATATGTATTGTGTGCGGTTCGGCATCTTCAGGCCAGGTTCTTGGACGTATCAGTCGGTTGAAGTAGGGCCGAATCTTTGGGTTGAACATGGGATAGATGGAGTATACGTTGAATTTAAGAACAGAAGATAGGGCGTACACATGCCACATATTGGCGTACGAGCCAGGGAAGCAGGAAGCTTTAACATCTGCATCAAAAATAGCCTCCAAGACAGTTACTGGCAGGTTCAGCATAGCCTCAGATTCTTCTGCACATAAACTGAAACGAACCGCCTGAAGCATCATCTTGGAATCGATCATCCCAGACAAGTAGTATCTCTTCCACAGGGCCATCTCTACTACAGTTCTCACCTGCGAAGGACAAGAACGATCAAATGGTTTATGAAACAGGCCTACAAACTTAACAAAGCCTAATCACATAGTTAGCTCACCTGTAGCTCCAAGCTCAAACCATTATGGCCAACAAGCAACATGCTAACAGCATCAAACAGTAAGTTTCCTTCTCCATTACACTTCAGGGGCAGGAGTCCCCCGGGTGCATCAGCTGGGTACAAACCACTGGCTGTGTCGTCCACACCGGCCCACTCAGAGAAATCCCCACAGGGAGTCTTTGGGAGCTGAAAAGTAGCAAGGCGCCGGTCTACATCTGAGGCCACCCTGGTCACAGCTTCCAGGCCAGGGCTCTCTGTGGCCTCCTGGAGCTCTCGGAGGACAGAAAGGACAATCTCTTTTCTTTGCATCATATCAGCAGATGTAATGTAATGACAGCTGTGAGGAAGACACAAGAGGGGGAAGTCAACAAATTATTCAAAAATTAACGTGGGTGATCTTAAAGGAAAGCTTGACACTGCCAGAGCAGCAATGCTATACTATATTTAGATGTAGAAAAACCTATTTTGTGACTCTTTACTTTGATGCCTTTCAAAACAATGCAATAAAAACAAGTAAATATTATGATCAATTCATTGTGATTTAAGACTGAGTGGCCTAGTGGTAGAGTGTCTGCCCTGAGACTGGGAGATCAGGGTTCAATTCCTGGTTGGGTCTTACCAAAGACTTAAAAATAAAATGGGACCCAATGCCTCCCTGCTTGACACTCAGCATGGGGTTGGATTGGGGGGTTAAACCACAAAATACATACATACATAATAAATTGAAAAAAGATTGTTTTGTTTTGTTTAGTTCTGGTGATACATCACTAGCCCAGTTCACACTAGCCCAGGGGTCTGCAAGCAGCTCTTAGGGACTTCCACAGTAGCTCTAAATAACTTAGACTAAAAAGCATTTCACAAATAACTCATGCTTTTAAAAATAGGTATGAAACGTACAGGTTCAAGCAGCTTTTAAAGCTTTTTTAAAGAATGACACTATGTATATATTTTACTTATTCATGTTTGTTTTCAATAATTTTCCAGAAAATGTCCATATTCCAAGAAATAAGCCATACCATTTGCAAAAGTTTGTTTTAGAAAATTTTATAAAAAAAAACAAAATTGTTTTTTTTCATAAATGACAACTAGCATAAACAGAAGAAAAGAGAAAAAAATCTGACTTTTCCCAGAAGAGTCAGATTTTTCAATTTAATCTCAGTAATTTACTTTTTCTCCCTCAGAATTCCCATGCTACTGTAAGAAGCGAGAAAAACAAAAACCTCTTTTTCCCCAATGGTCCTAATGCTCTTCCATACATTTCCTCAACATTTAAATTTTGTTATTTTTCAATAGGTCCTGTAACAGTTGCTGCTCAAAACAAGTTTCATCCTCAGTGAAGGGGATACATGGCCCTTGGGACTGTAAAGGTTGCAGACCCCTGGGCCAGCCACTAGCTCACCTGAGGTGGTCCAAAGAGCCATCTACAAGTGAGATCATGGATGTAGTCTTTACAGTAAGTATACAAAAAATATGTATTTCGAAATGGGAATCAGGCTTGAACACAACCGGCTGTTTTCAGCTTGGTCATAGTGCACAATCAGTGTTTATTTAATATAGTGTAATATTGTTGTTTTAGATGGTAAAAGGTGCAGGGGACAAAAATAGACTTCCATGAGTAAAATCATAATTATTCACAAACTTTCCATAGAACCTCACCTCATGCAGTCCTTTTAACCATAGAATAAACATGGCAGCCATATTATTCCAGCAGCGGCTCACTGGGGGCTGACTCTCCTACATCTGCCCCTGTGATCAATAAACATCTCTTCCTAATAATGAATCTGGGTGATTGTGGGTCTCTTATAATGTGTTGGAATTACTGGGCCTACTTTGCGTCGCGCAGGAATTAAAACTCAATTTGAAAAGTGTGTTAGATGATTATCTTTAACCTCCAACTTCATGAGAACAAACACTGTTTTAGTAAAATAAACCGCAGAGACTCCGAGATCGTGTCTTACCTGGTTGTTCAGAGACCAGCATGGGTGTGGTAGGAAAGAAGAGCCAATGGTTTGTTTCACCGTGATGCGTCTCACTCAGAGCTGCTCCATGCCCTCAGCGCGCGCTGCTCCTCCCGAGTGGCCGGTGCTCCGGTTTGCTCAGGAGTTTGATTTAGGGACTGATAAGCGGCACCTCCCTTCAGGAAATAGTCGATCTCTCTCTCTCTCTCTCTCTCTCTCTCTCTCTCTCTCTCTCTCTCTCTCTCTCTCTCTCTCTCTCTCTCTCTCTCTCCATGTGAAACACCTCCCTCTACTACCCCCCCCCCCTCCTCCACATCCTTCCCCTCACCTGTAGCCAGGGTCAATTTCAATGTGAAGTGCCAACAAACGTTAACAGCGTCTGTTTAGATCAGCGGTCCGTTTACAACCCAGAGCCACTTTCTACTCAGTCCACCTGAACAGAACCTTTTAGAGCAGCAGCCGCAATAGGACTTTAGAACAAGTCCAGGTTTAGGGAAAGCTATGGCAGAGGACTTGTGCCACTGAAAAGGGGTTATTTTTTTTCTACACATTTTTAGAATAGGGTTTGAATTCTGAGATTGAAATCAGGATTCTGACTTATTTTCTGAGAATAAGGTTAGAAAAATTATAAATATTATTAGGTTTTAACCCTTTAAACGCCATATAGTCGCAATATTGTGACACGTGGACGTAATTTTCACTTTAGAAGTGTGTGGGGGGTATCTTTACAGTATGTTCTAATGGGAAACAGGCTTCAGCACAAACGGCTGTTTTCTGCTTGGTCATAGAGCTCAACCAGTGTCAATTTAATATAGCGTAATATTGTTTTTGGATGGTAAAAAGTGAAAGGGTCAAAACTTGACTTTGGAAAAAGTGGGAGGGACATGTCCCCCGTCCCCCCCCCAAAATTACATCCATGTGTGGCAAACATCATTGCCGACTTTAACTCATTCACTGCCAGCCATTTCCTGATCACTAACGGCCTTCGCTGCCAGCATTTCTCACCGTTTTTACTGTTTTTTTAAGAGTCACAGAACGTTGCGCGCTAGCATGATGTCGATGCCAAAACAACCAAAACAAAGAGGAGACTCACCTCTTACATCAGGAAGAGTCCTTTCATAATCCGTTGTCGAATTGTGATCGGCAGACGCTTTTCCGGTTCACGCCTCACTTTTTTTTACAGGAATGGCCCAAAACGATCTCCTAACACATGGATGTGTTGCTTCCTGATCATGTGATCTGTGACGTATGGATGAAGATCGGCTTCAGGGCTGAGATGTTTGTTCTCTCAGCGCGGGGGCTCGTTCCGATGCTCAAACAGTAAAAAAAATGCAAATGACGACTTTAGTCGTCATTGGCAGTGAATGAGTTAACGAGGAGCCACTCCATTTCATGCTTAATGTTTCTACTACTGCTTCACGTTTGTTACGAACAGTGTTGCCAACTCCCCCTGATAGAAAGTAGCTGAAGTTGACCCAGAAAGTCTCCCAGATGTCGCCAGATGATGTCAAATGCTAATTTGCATATTTATGATGTCATCACGCCAGATTGGCTTTCATTTTCCCCATAGCATCTAATATATATATATATATATATATGTATATACTGAAGATTTTAAAAACATGTTGGTCTTTTTAGGACTAAAAGGGAGGAAAATTAAAAACTATTTTATGTGTTAAAGTTATTAATTAGTATGATTAAAATGGCCCAAATTGCCTTGATATTTAAAATAAATTCCAAAGTATCAATAAAGTGACATTAAGACAGATATGGTGTGGTCGGTTCTCGTGCACATGTGCAGATTATCGTTCTCTTTCCTTACTCCCGGAAGAACGGTTCAGAGTGCAAATGGTTTCTTTGTTGCTAATCTGTAGGGAATTTCTACAAGATAGTTCTACAGAAAGTAGCAACGGGTCCTGAGAAACCCGGTAACGGGTCGCTAGGTTTGTCGCTAGGCGCTTTTTGGAAAAAAAGTCATTGAGGGGGGTCAAAAAGTCGTTAGGAACAGCGACTTTGTCTGGTTACGAACGCACCCGCCTCTCTTCTTTTTCTGTTTTCTCTTCTTCTTATTTGTGGTCTTATGGCACTTGGCAGACAACAATTAGGTGAATTACTTCCACCAAATGGATTGGACTAGAATGACTACCAATCACTTCCTGTTTGTGCATCGGCATCTTAAAGGAATAGTCCATTATGGCATTAACAGAGGGGTGCCAAGAGTTAGGGCTAGGGGGCCCCAGGCGGCCGCCAACCTATGCCTAATGGTAAAACTGCCACTGCCGGAAAGATTGACGCTGCTTCAGCATGCAGGAACAGACTGCCGGTGCTGCACAAGAATGAGGCATATGGAGCTTACAAGCTCCAAACGTTGGGTTTGGAATTTGTTTCACCATGTTTGGGACATGGTGGATGTAGAAATGATGGCAATAACACTGCTAATGTGACAGACGTAGCAGCATTGTAAAAAAAAAAGCATCAGATGTGTTACATGTGGAAGTCAAAGTGTGCCACATTTTCATAAAAATATTCTTTCTATTGAATCAAATGATCATTTACACTCAAGGGAAGGACTTCCCCGAAGCTGTTCAAGCCTAATTAAACCAGACAAATGTGGCTAAAAAGCATTTCTCTTGAGTGAAGCTGGTATAAATATTAAAAAGTAAAATATAAAAGCTAAACAATGAAATTAAAATGTCAAAATAGCTTTATTTATGTTTCTATAAATTAAAAAACTCAAAATAACATGAAAAAAGGAACATCTGTAAAAAAGATTAATTCCAATATGGCAGCCGGATGATGTCATAATATGCAAATTAGATGAGTGAATGTGGTCCCAACAAAAACTTTGGGTCCTACTGAAGATTTTTCTCATTTACAGTTTACCTTTATCTCTAACCGTTTCCAACTCAACTCAGCCTTTATTTATAAAGCACCTTACAGTCATGAGCATGCCACCAAGGTGCTGCACAACAAAAGAGTAAAACAATAAAACACATAGCGCCACAGACATAATTAAAACCACAAATGAGAATTACAAAATATAAAACATTAACAATTGCTAACCAACACGAATTAAAAGCCAGATCAAAAAAGTAGGTTTTCAGCCTCATTTTAAAAACTGCTACTGATGGAGAGTCCCTAATAGTTAGGGGCAGTGCGTTCCACAGTTTCGGACCCGCGACAGGGAACGCCCTGCCTCCTCTTAACCTTAACCTAGCCTAAAGCTTGGTTTATGCTTGACGCGTCCGCGAGGTTCGCACGGCTCCGCCCGGCAAAATTGCGTCATTTTAACAACCACGCCCCTCCACTGCGCCTCCGCACGGCCCAAACTTTCCACACCGCGCACCTAGGAAATTTTCTAACCACACGGACGGTAGGACGCGGAAAAACATGGCGGACTGGCAAGAACTAGTATGGCAGAGGTTCGTAAATACAGCCATTTGTATGATTCAGCTCTCAAAGATCACCGTGATCAACATGTTGTTAATAATTCTTGGAGAGAAATAGCTCGCACTGTCGGAAAAGACGAGGACGCTGTTTAAAATGCTGGAATGCCATGTTGTAAACAGTAATTTCTACTTCTACTATGGTGTAGTGTTGGATGCATGCCGTAGAGCTCCATGCTGTCCCCTATAGTTTGGGAGAATATTGGCTCACAGCAGAGACAAGCCGCATGAACCATACACGCTGCAAGTTGTGAAGTGCGTTCCATCCGCGAGCTGCATCACCAAGTGGAAAGTAAACGTGTCAAGCATAAACCAAGCTTTGGGAGCCACAAGCAGCAGCTGGTTCTCAGAGTGGAGTGACCGGGCCAGAGCATATAGCTGCAGCAACTCCACCAAATAAGCTGGGGCCACACCATTCAGCGCCTTAAACACCAAGTTTCCAAGCTACAACCTTTTGAAATAGTCATGGAAAGAAAAAAACTTTGCCATTAAGAGTATGTTTTCTTTGGGATGTGTACATATTCTTGGAAAATGTTTTCACAAAACATAAAAGGATCTTAAATATTATTTGAGCCATTTTTACAAAACCGTGTTGTAACCTCATGAAGAGGTTGCGTCGTGAGCAGTTCTGGTACATTTTGGGTTGCAGCGCCGCTTCGACAGTGCGACACCCAAACTAGGGACAAGCAAAATATCGAACACGCCGGAAATTCGTGCGAGCTTACGATTGCCGATCGGTAGCTGGTCACGTGGTGTTAATCGCCTTTCGTATACTACACAACGCTCAGCGCAAAACTCGCCCCAATCTTGTAGATGATTGCACGAAGGGAAAATCGGCTCAAAAAGTGGAAAGTCGTACCGTGTACGTCCGGCTGTAGATCAACCCTTTGTTGTTGTTGAAGATGTTTTCTTTTTCTTTGGGATTGGGCGATCGACAGGAGGATTGGTTCAGCATCTGCAGTGATGCGGATGCTGAGCCGATCTGTCGTGGTGAAGAGGGAGCTGAGCCAGAAAGCCAGGCTCTCGATTTACCGGTCGATCTACGTCCCAATCCTCACCTATGGTCATGAGCTTTGGGTAATGACCGAAAGAACGAGATCACGGATACAAGCGGCCGAAATGAGTTTCCTCCGTAGGGTGGCCGGGCTCAGCCTTAGAGATAGGGTGAGGAGCTCGGACATTCGGGAGGGACTCGGAGTAGAACTGCTGCTCCTCTGGATCGAAAGGAGTCAGCTGAGGTGGTTTGGGCATCTGGTCAGGATGCCTCCTGGACGCCTCCCCGGGGAGGTGTTTCGGGCATGTCCTGCCGGCAGGAGGCCCCCGGGTCGACCCAGGACACGTTGGAGAGGTTACATCTCCAATCTGGTCCGGGAACGCCTTGGGGTCCTGCCGGAGGAGCTCGTGGAGAAGGCCAGGGAGAGGACGGTCTGGAGCTCTCTAGTTGGGATGCTGCCCCCGCGACCCGGACCCGGATAAGCGGAGGAAGACGACGACGACTTATCACAGATATGGAATAACAAAGTGCTTCAGGTCAAAACAAAATAAAACATAAAGTTGTGAAATCATAATGATTTCAAAACAGAAATAGATCAGAAAAAATAAAGTAATAAAATTATAAAATTTCAAAAACAGATGAACGATGATACAAATTTGGGTTAAAATAAGAAAATAAAAGATTTAGGCAAAAGCAGCTTTAAATAAAAGTCTTCAGCTGTTTTTAAGTGTTCAGACTGTCAACGCTACATAAGAATGAAGGAAGATCAT